ATGGAGTTGGCTAATGGTTGCTTCATATGTTGCTTTTTCATGTAGAGATTCCCTGATATAAGGTCACCCCAATGAACATCAACAGAACAAAAACCTTTCAGTTCAGTGATTGACACATTTTTTCGAATAAATAAATTAGTGCTTGATGGTTCATATGGTCCCTGAACAGTGAAAATTATAACGAAGGACCCCAAATGTTGATTTATTCAGTTAAATTAATCCCCATATCAATCATGTGAATCTCTGAATAATTTGGGTTCAACAATTAACCATGTTCGTTCGTCTATTACAACTCCCAATTGCAACTTCTCAATTTGAAGTCAAAATTTTCAGTCATTTATATCGTCAGCAAATTAGAATAATTGGATGGAGATCAAGTAATTCATATTTTATTTGGATGAATTAGATGTAACACGTAGTTTGACTTATTTATGCACGGATATGATAAGCCTACATAATATATGATTTCCAAAAATGAAAAATATCCTTTTAACAACTTTTTTTAACAATTTTTTTACAATAATTTAAGTGGTAACTTTTAATTGGTCGATTTTAAATATATGAACCAATAAAACAGTGACTCATAGTCTATTGTCAAAAAATTATTAAAAAAAATTGTTAAAATATCATAATTCTTTCCAAAAATATATAAAATACATAAAGGTTATAAAATATATAATTGCAAATCTAAATCAAAATCGTATTTATTAGATTTTTTCCACGTAAGAAAGCATAAATTATTTGGCATACATTACTTTTTATTATTTGCACATAAGAATAACACAGTCAATTTCGTTACTTTTTAAAAATAATTCATGAAAAACAATTTTACCCTTTAGTTTATGAATAAACAATTTTTATATATTTCTATATCAATTACTTATGTGGTTCTTGTAGTTTTTTTTATTCATATAAATGATTTTAAGTTTCAATATTTTATCAACACATGTTAATGAGGTATCATCTACATTTGAACAAGGCAAATAAATAAAACTATTAGTGTTTATATGTTTTGATTCATTATGTGTGTTGGTGGGGTATCTTAAAATATTAATACCTATTGAACAAGGATAAGTAAAACAAATAAAAATTGAAACTTCATATACTTTATTTAATTTAATGATTGTGATTTATTTATATCATGAGTATATCAAATCACGTTTCAACAAGTAAATATAGATTCCATATATGTAATTTTTCATCCTTCAAGGATAAATATATCCTTGAATATGGCTAACCACTCAAATTTTATTAATCTTCAATATATACTCACTTAACTTGAGCTTCCAAACACGAAATTTGTTGTTCGTATTCTCGTTTAAGCAATCCTGTATCCTTCCTATATCCCTGCTCCAAACACAAAATCACAAAATCCGATCTAATTCTCAAAACCATGACATATCATACAACCGCGTTGGTAACATTCTCTTTCACAATCAAATCACACAGCAGGAAAAAACAAAAAACTGGGAAGCAACTCACGTCTTCTTTAAGCGAAACTTCAGTTTTCGCTCTCTCCAATTCTTCTTTCAAAATCAGGCAATTTGTACGGTAATCAAGCTATAGCGTCACGACATACTCGATTTTAAATAAACGTTTTCAGAAAATGATTCCAAATATAAATTGCAATCACAACTTAGGTCATGAAAAAATTCTGTAATCGAAGTACCTGATCCGCTAGATTCTTCAAGGACTCCGAGTACAGTTTTGCCAACCTGTCCTTTTCTGCAACACTACAAAACAAATTCAGCACAAAAATTACTAAACGTGAAAATTTTTAATATGTGTATTATAGTTACGAACCGCTTTTGAGGGCATTGGAAGCGACTTGGAGTGATTCACGCATCTTCAACTCTGCGTTGTAGTTGGATTGCAACAACTGCATCTCCGAAATGCCGCTCTTAGCATCCTGAACAAATTAACGCAAAATTGAAAAACGAACAAAAAATAAAATGTTTCGGGACTAATCGTTGATGCTGAAATCGATAATGATATCAGATTTTACTAAAACCTCGTAGATCTGATCGAACGCAGAGAGAAGTGACTCCATTTCTTCATCGCTGGTTGCCGCCATTTTTGTTCTTGTTTGTTGTTCCCTCAACAAATTCAAATTATCTATTTTCTAACTTTGAACGAGTGAGATTGGTTTTGGGCCAGATCTCAGAAGCCTGCCTTGGCCCAATTTTCATGCTCATCATATGTCTGCGAGAGTTGCTCCCTCCACCACCACCAACCGCTCCCTGCACCTCCCCATACCTTATTTGCCCTTCTATAAAACGGATGTCAACATCCGTTTCACCTTCAACGGATGTTGACATCCGTAACATCCATTTACATATTTCATATTTTAGTTTATTATTTTTATTTAAAAGAAAAAAACTTCAACGGATGTGGCCACATCCGTTAACGGATGTGCCACATCCGTTTAATAGATTTTTAAAAAGTTTTTAATTTATTATTTAAATAATAATATATAAATTAAAATAATTATTATTATTTTATTAAATAAAATAAAATTAATTTATAAATAATTAAATAATAATTTTTAAAAAATTAAATAATATTTATATATTAATTTAAAATATAAAAAATTAAAAAACTAAAAATTAAAAAACAAAAAAAGGAAACGGATGTCGCCACATCCGTTTTAATATATTTATAACAAATTTTTTAATTATTATTTAAATAATAATACATAAATTAAAAGTAATAATAATTATTTTATTAAATAAAATAAAATTAATTTATAAATAATTAAGTAATAATCTTAAAATAATTAAATAATATTTATATATTAATTTAAAACAAAAAAAATAAAAGAACTAAAAACTAAAAAACAAAAAAAGGCAACGGATGTCGCCAGATCCGTTAACGGATGTAGCATGTCCGTGGAAGAATTTTTTTTTCAACGGATGTTGATATCCGTTGAAGAAAAGGGGTGGGGTGTGGGATATTTTAAAATATAAAGGATAGTTTTGGCATTTTAAAAAAATGTGGTGGTGCAGGAAGTAAAGTGGGGTGGTGTAGGGAGTAAAACCCTATGTCTGCTTAATAAAAACTTCAATGCTATATGAGACACCACTTGAAATTTAGATGCTCCTGGAAAATAATAATTATAAATAAATCTTAATGAATTATTATCACATTGATTGAACAAATTCTGAGTAAGCTTTATTAATTTTACTCTGTTCTATATCTTTATATATAGTTTTAAAATATAAACAAAGTTTGGTTATAAGATTTCAAATTATTAAATTTTTAATTTATCTAAATTATAGTAATGACCGTGATAAGAAAAAAATCTTACCAAAAAATGAACATCTTTTATTGAGTAATTATTGAGGTGAAATCTCACAATTCTGTAAATCGAGCTATAGATAATAATGAGAAATGAGAAATGAGAACTTATAAGGGACGAGCAAATAAGAAATGAAGGTTCACCTGTAAATAATACTTTGACATTTACATTACTAAGTGAAAAAATGATTAATAAACGAAAAAATAATTATAACTATTGAAAATGTGAGTTAAAGTGAGTCTTCTTACTATGAAGATGTTTTTGTATAAACGTTCATAGTCTTTCTTTTTTGGATAATTATATGGTCATATTAGGTACTATGATGTTCTTGTAATAGAATACTAAATTGTTAGTAATAATTGATTTATAAGATATTCAAATTATATTTTAAATATAAATAATTACATAAGTTTCTTAAACCCAAAATTTGAATAGAGAACATTGTGTAGGTGAATAATTAGTTTAAATAAATAGTTTTGATGGAGATGAAAAATATTTGAAAATCTTTGGAAGAGATTAAGATATTATTTGGTGTCGCGTTACTTATTATGCTCTAGTGATGTACAACACAGTTTGTTCAAATTGTGAAGTAACATGTTATCATTTATAAATAACAATTTGTGTCGCAACAATAAATGTTAATTAATAGATTTTCATGAAACTCGAAATTATTAAATAAAATTAATGGGTTTCTGATGAAACTCAAAATGATAAGACTGGTGAGATGTTAAAACCCCATGGTAAAATGTACTGTATTTAGATGTTTTTGGGACTCGACTTAGATGGATAAGTATATAACAGATACACAAGTTAATAGATGAACAAGAAAATAGTGGGAAAAACTCTTGAGTGAATTAAAGTGTCTCCTTAATGTAGATTTATTCTATATAATAGTTAAAATATTAGGTTATAAGTAATTACTAACTGGTTTGTCTATAATAATTAATTTATAAGTCCAAGTACATATGAATAGGTACACATATGATTCCATCCTCGTATTAATAAATTCGTATATGCGAAACTTGCTCTTAAAATAAAAGGATTCTCTTCCGATAAAAAAAAATTACAGTTTTTTTCAAGTACAAGCATTTTGAGATGACGATGAGGATTTTAAAGTGAAATGAGATGTTATAGTCTGATCTATCACCAGGTATTTAAGAGTAATATGTAACATTAAAATATTTTATTACAAATGAACAAAAAAGTGAAATAAAGATACAGCTTTACGACTAAAAATACCATGAACAACAAAATGAGACACAATATGCATCGTATGCGTGGAACAACGAAGTAATAATAGCATGGTCATCTAACCTGCCATAGGATTTGTTCATCAATCTTGCTCAGCTTCTCATCATCAAGGCGTTTCCAAGTCAAGATTCTCTGCACGCCCATCCAGGAATTCTTTCCCTTCTCAAGTTCAGCCTGTATGATCCTGGCTCTTCTGGGCCACCCTGCTTTCCCATAGCCATGGTATCCAAAGCCACCACCGTAACAAAACCATATGCCATCCAAGTTTCCACAAAAGTCATTGGTGTGGTCATGGCCTATGAACACAGCCTTCACATCTCCCATGGAGACAAAGGTCTGCAAGACCCCCGAATTCACTCTTGAACACGCCACAGCCTCCTGAAATTGGCCTACAATCTCTTTGTTGAACAGTTGCGGAATTTCTGGAATAGGGATGTGGAAAAATGCAAGTGCGGGGGGTTTAATTGTGGAAATACCATCAGTAGAATGAAGAGAATCCTCATTTTGTCCCTGTTAGTGTGTGACCAGCAAGATGTTAATGGGGTCTACATCTGAGAAACCTCCCTCAAGGGAATAGAAAGGCCGTGTCCTATGAATAACACAAGTGCGTGATTGCATTATTGCATGAAAAATAAACAATGTTCTGCCAAGAGAACTAAATTGTTTTCTCATAACATTCAACCCAAGCTTACATGTTGATTAATTTGAAGAGGTCGATTACATGTATTACTTTCATTACTGTCAGTAATTTAAATAATTTGAATATTTGAAGAGAAAAATATTCATCTTATTGAGATCATTGCTGCCAGCCCTGCCTAATATTTTCATTTCTTCTGATATTTATTACAATTTCTAGTTAAACATGGCTAGCTATTGAAAACTCTGTTGTTCATTTTATTCCTAAAAGAGTGCAACCATAGAAACAAATGTAGTCACTTTAGTCAGATTTTGTGCAATTATGACCTTTGTGTGTTCAATGCAGAAATTGACTCCTTATCTGACATGCCTGCGCTATTCTTTTCCTAAGGAAGACAGAAAGTTTTTTCCACCTAGTGATTTATGTAAAACTAATAGTGCATCAATATACTTTACCCAAATTCACTTTGCTCTATTCCCCTTGAGCCAGTTTTCTACTCTACATTTAAATAAATATTACTTAACAAAGCTCATGTATCTAGAATCCACAAAATTCTTTCACACTTCCCATAGAAAATATAGTTGTAGAGAAACTGAAAACGTATGAAACACTGCCAAGGAACGAAAAGGAAAAGATTACGAACATTTTATTTTTATGCAGAAAATAACTGAGAAAATAAGTCAACGAAGACAATCATATGCAGCATGTCAAAATTGAAGTATAGACAGGTAATATTGAGTCTCTTCAATATCATAACCAAAATTAATTTGATTAGCAACAGGCGACAATATTCAGATTTTGTTGTTACCTGGAATTCTTGAGAAACACGACGAAGCCAGTGAAGTTGAGACTCCTTGATCCATCCATAAGTTCGAATTCCCTGATAAACAGCCCTGTCTCCACTGTCAAGAAAGAAAAGATTCAAAACAGTGCTGTTTGCCAACATGGACCCTGGGGCACCATACACTCTTAGGTCATAATTCCCAAATCCGTCAATTTTAGTCATCAAGCCACCTTTAGTTGGATCATCATCTGATGGGTTGATTTGTGAAACTGAATAATCCATAAGGGAAATTAAGGACATTAACTCTTCACGATTCATCGTTGATTCTTGGTCATGGTTTCCCAAAACTGCTGCCCAAGGAAGTCCTGATTCCATAACAGGACCAAAGGCTCTAAACAGAGATTCTGCAGCATCAGGTGCACTTGATCCGAAAATATTATCTCCTAATCGCAAGAACTGAATTCATGTTAATTAGGCAGTAGAACATGAAAGGAAACAAACCCATGGGAAATATTGAAAAATTAAAAGAACAAAGAAAAACTGTTCAGTACCATATGGCAACTGACAACAAAAGTTTCATGGTGACATCCTCTGTTTTATTGAAATCATAATCAAAATTTGTTTCACAATTCGAAAACATGTATATATGTGTGTGTGTGTCTATATATATATATATATAAAGTTTAAATCACAATATTGGTGGAAAACTAAATAAAACAAAATATGAAACATAATCTATAGTTTAATCAAATAAGTTATTTAAATATATAATTAATAGTTCATGAATTTATTTCAACCACGCAGAGAAAAGATATGGTAATGTTTCATTCATGCAGAGAAAAGCTGGAAGGATTTATTTTCAACCAGAGTATTTAAATACTGCCAGATACATCTTTATGAATATCAGTGAAGAAATACGATTTACTACTAGTATGACAATTCTTAGAACAAACAAACACGTTGACGAGGAAGGTTTGTCAAGAACATCCCCTTCCCTTATAAAAAAAATAAAGGATCGGGAAGAAAATGAGGATTGTAAGCTAATATGTATTAGGGGTACTATTCTTATGTAACCATTAAGGGCATGTTTGGAGAAGCTTCTTAAACATTTTACAGGAAAGAAAATTAAGAAAGAAAAATAAAATCAGTTTTTTCATAAATTAAGAATAGCTTATATATGATTAAATTCAGCTTTTCCAAAATATGAGTTGTAATTCATGTCTAAGCTAATTTTAGTTTATAAAGAAACTAATTTTATATTTTACTTGTAGAAGTGTTTATGTAGAAGCTTCCTCCAAACATACTATAAGCATTTAAAGGGTCATTAACATTGTGTCCATTTAGATTGTTAAAAGAAAAGCCATGTAATGGTTAAAGTGTTATTCTATTATGAATAGAGTACCAATCCATGTAGTTTGAGGCAAATGAACTACTCTCCACTATTTCCTCAAAGTCCCCTCTATAATTTTCTAACAAAGTGGTAGGAGAGCATGGGTTATGGGAATTAAGAGAAATACTAAGTGAGAGATGGCAATCAATGTCTTGCACTTGTTTCAATTCCCTAACTTACCAATAGGAATTGTGATAATTAGTTTTGTCATATACCGGGCTTGCTTGGTTCTTAAAATGCTTGGGAGGTTGTGGAGAAAGAATACCCAACCTGAAAATTTGATGCTTTGTCACCAACTAAGAAGGATACATAGTCCAAGGTGAAGAAGGATATGAGAAATAGAGAAGATTGGGAGAAATATCCCTTGTGTCTTTTGCATACACATAGGGTAGTTTATTTATAATGTAAGATATGGGCCAATGCCCTTAATACAGAGTGGGCTGAGCCCAATTAACAGAAACACACATCTTAACATCTAACACTCCCCCTCAAGCTGGAACATATAAATCATATGTTCCAAGCTTGTTACAAAGATAATCAATTCTAGGTCCTCGTAAGGCCTGAATATGTTTGCCAACTGGTTGCTTGAGTTAACGAACTCAGTCTTGATATCTCCGGATATGATTTTTTCTCGAATAAAATGACAATCAACTTCAATGTGCTTGGTTCTCTCATGGAAGACAGGGTTAAAGCTAATATGGAGAGAAGCTTGATTATCACATATAAGTGTCATGTCAGTGACATCTCCAAATTTCAATTCACTAAGTAATTGTTTAAGCCACACAAGCTCGCAAGTAGCTGATGCCATAGCTCTATATTAACACACATCTTAACATCTAACAAAGGATAAACAAACTTTTATCAAGGCTTAGACGAAGTCATGTTTGAGATGTTGTGTAATGCATCCACTTCCAAACAAGCTGAGGAGATTTTGAAGAGCTTTCTTGAGGATGCTGACAAGGTGAAGATGTGCATGTGGGGAGAGCTTGAATCCTCGTGTGTGTATAAAAGATGATGGTTGTGAACTAAATCTGGAAGATGATTGTGTTATAGAGAAGATCATTTCCTCTTTACCAGCAAAATTTAATTTTGTTGTTTGTGCAATTGAAGATTCAAAGGATTCGGAATTGATGACCATAGACTAGTTGATAGGTTCACTTCAAATGTGCGAAAGAAAGATTCAAAAATAGCATGACTACCGTTTGGAGAAAGTCCCCATTGCAAAAGTTTCTTTGAAAGACAAAAGGATGAGAGAAAAGTAAAAAATAACAAGATGATTAAAAAGAGGCAGAGGTGATCATATATATCTTTTATTAAAAAAATTGGGTAAGAAACTGTCTTGGATAAGAAATGGAGGAAAATGAAGAAAGGTTAACAAAGATATGGTTTGAAGCACCTGAATCAAGAATCCATGTATTATGACCTTCCACAAAGATTGAGAAATATATGCAGTTGACACACTTAGCATTGAAGAGGATTAACCTTGACTAATTGATTTCTCAAACTTGTACCTCAAAAATTCTTGGTACTTATTATAAAAAGATTTTAGATTCTGATTTTCCAAATTTAGACACATGAGCAACTTTGTTTGGAAAGTCAAGCAAGAAATGACTATTTTCTGGAACATTATTCATTCTCTTACAGTATGAGAATTTAGAATGTCCACTCCCACCACCACGTCCTCCTCATATGTTCTGACTTCCTCCTCCTCCTCCTCCTCCTCCTCTTTCATAAGGGACTGCCATTGCAGAAGCTTCAGTAACTTCAGTTTAACTGTCACCTTTGACCAGTTAGGTGCACAGATGAGTCTAGTAATTAAACCATCCATAGAAGAGATGTGATCACCGGCTAGAATCTGATCACGAACATAAGCAGAAGTTGAATGTAGGCTTCTTCTCAAAATAAAGACCACACATTATCTATGAGGTTTCTTGTNCACAAGTGCGTGATTGCATTATTGCATGAAAAATAAACAATGTTCTGCCAAGAGAACTAAATTGTTTTCTCATAACATTCAACCCAAGCTTACATGTTGATTAATTTGAAGAGGTCGATTACATGTATTACTTTCATTACTGTCAGTAATTTAAATAATTTGAATATTTGAAGAGAAAAATATTCATCTTATTGAGATCATTGCTGCCAGCCCTGCCTAATATTTTCATTTCTTCTGATATTTATTACAATTTCTAGTTAAACATGGCTAGCTATTGAAAACTCTGTTGTTCATTTTATTCCTAAAAGAGTGCAACCATAGAAACAAATGTAGTCACTTTAGTCAGATTTTGTGCAATTATGACCTTTGTGTGTTCAATGCAGAAATTGACTCCTTATCTGACATGCCTGCGCTATTCTTTTCCTAAGGAAGACAGAAAGTTTTTTCCACCTAGTGATTTATGTAAAACTAATAGTGCATCAATATACTTTACCCAAATTCACTTTGCTCTATTCCCCTTGAGCCAGTTTTATACTCTACATTTAAATAAATATTACTTAACAAAGCTCATGTATCTAGAATCCACAAAATTCTTTCACACTTCCCATAGAAAATATAGTTGTAGAGAAACTGAAAACGTATGAAACACTGCCAAGGAACGAAAAGGAAAAGATTAAGAACATTTTATTTTTATGCAGAAAATAACTGAGAAAATAAGTCAACGAAGACAATCATATGCAGCATGTCAAAATTGAAGTATAGACAGGTAATATTGAGTCTCTTCAATATCAAAACCAAAATTAATTTGATTAGCAACAGGCGACAATATTCAGATTTTGTTGTTACCTGGAATTCTTGAGAAACACGACGAAGCCAGTGAAGTTGAGACTCCTTGATCCATCCATAAGTTCGAATTCCCTGATAAACAGCCCTGTCTCCACTGTCAAGAAAGAAAAGATTCAAAACAGTGCTGTTTGCCAACATGGACCCTGGGGCACCATACACTCTTAGGTCATAATTCCCAAATCCGTCAATTTTAGTCATCAAGCCACCTTTAGTTGGATCATCATCTGATGGGTTGATTTGTGAAACTGAATAATCCATAAGGGAAATTAAGGACATTAACTCTTCACGATTCATCGTTGATTCTTGGTCATGGTTTCCCAAAACTGCTGCCCAAGGAAGTCCTGATTCCATAACAGGACCAAAGGCTCTAAACAGAGATTCTGCAGCATCAGGTGCACTTGATCCGAAAATATTATCTCCTAATCGCAAGAACTGAATTCATGTTAATTAGGCAGTAGAACATGAAAGGAAACAAACCCATGGGAAATATTGAAAAATTAAAAGAACAAAGAAAAACTGTTCAGTACCATATGGCAACTGACAACAAAAGTTTCATGGTGACATCCTCTGTTTTATTGAAATCATAATCAAAATTTGTTTCACAATTCGAAAACATGTATATATGTGTGTGTGTGTCTATATATATATATATATATATATATATATATATAAAGTTTAAATCACAATATTGGTGGAAAACTAAATAAAACAAAATACGAAACATAATCTATAGTTTAATCAAATAAGTTATTTAAATATATAATTAATAGTTCATGAATTTATTTCAACCACGCAGAGAAAAGATATGGTAATGTTTCATTCATGCAGAGAAAAGCTGGAAGGATTTATTTTCAACCAGAGTATTTAAATACTGCCAGATACATCTTTATGAATATCAGTGAAAAAATACGATTTACTACTAGTATGACAATTCTTAGAACAAACAAACACGTTGACGAGGAAGGTTTGTCAAGAACATCCCCTTCCCTTATAAAAAAAATAAAGGATCGGGAAGAAAATGAGGATTGTAAGCTAATATGTATTAGGGGTACTATTCTTATGTAACCATTAAGGGCATGTTTGGAGAAGCTTCTTAAACATTTTACAGGAAAGAAAATTAAGAAAGAAAAATAAAATCAGTTTTTTCATAAATTAAGAATAGCTTATATATGATTAAATTCAGCTTTTCCAAAATATGAGTTGTAATTCATGTCTAAGCTAATTTTAGTTTATAAAGAAACTAATTTTATATTTTACTTGTAGAAGTGTTTATGTAGAAGCTTCCTCCAAACATACTATAAGCATTTAAAGGGTCATTAACATTGTGTCCATTTAGATTGTTAAAAGAAAAGCCATGTAATGGTTAAAGTGTTATTCTATTATGAATAGAGTACCAATCCATGTAGTTTGAGGCAAATGAACTACTCTCCACTATTTCCTCAAAGTCCCCTCTATAATTTTCTAACAAAGTGGTAGGAGAGCATGGGTTATGGGAATTAAGAGAAATACTAAGTGAGAGATGGCAATCAATGTCTTGCACTTGTTTCAATTCCCTAACTTACCAATAGGAATTGTGATAATTAGTTTTGTCATATACCGGGCTTGCTTGGTTCTTAAAATGCTTGGGAGGTTGTGGAGAAAGAATACCCAACCTGAAAATTTGATGCTTTGTCACCAACTAAGAAGGATACATAGTCCAAGGTGAAGAAGGATATGAGAAATAGAGAAGATTGGGAGAAATATCCCTTGTGTCTTTTGCATACACATAGGGTAGTTTATTTATAATGTAAGATATGGGCCAATGCCCTTAATACAGAGTGGGCTGAGCCCAATTAACAGAAACACACATCTTAACATCTAACACTCCCCCTCAAGCTGGAACATATAAATCATATGTTCCAAGCTTGTTACAAAGATAATCAATTCTAGGTCCTCGTAAGGCCTGAATATGTTTGCCAACTGGTTGCTTGAGTTAACGAACTCAGTCTTGATATCTCCGGATATGATTTTTTCTCGAATAAAATGACAATCAACTTCAATGTGCTTGGTTCTCTCATGGAAGACAGGGTTAAAGCTAATATGGAGAGAAGCTTGATTATCACATATAAGTGTCATGTCAGTGACATCTCCAAATTTCAATTCACTAAGTAATTGTTTAAGCCACACAAGCTCGCAAGTAGCTGATGCCATAGCTCTATATTAACACACATCTTAACATCTAACAAAGGATAAACAAACTTTTATCAAGGCTTAGACGAAGTCATGTTTGAGATGTTGTGTAATGCATCCACTTCCAAACAAGCTGAGGAGATTTTGAAGAGCTTTCTTGAGGATGCTGACAAGGTGAAGATGTGCATGTGGGGAGAGCTTGAATCCTCGTGTGTGTATAAAAGATGATGGTTGTGAACTAAATCTGGAAGATGATTGTGTTATAGAGAAGATCA